CTGACAATCCAATAATTTTACCTTTATATTTCCTATGTAGTTACTGTTTCTACTAGTTTCCACCCTCTATGCTCTAAAAGATCAGAAGTCGTTTGCTCACTTTGTATTCCTAGAACCAAACTGCTATACTGAACAGCTATTACCTACTGTGATATCAAGTCATTTCAGATGCCTGTTACAGAACCATAAACACCAGCAGACGCTAGTGTTCTCTGCAGAGAGCCTTGAGGAATACAGGGGAGCTAACCCCCATGGTTCAGGTTGCTGTTTGAGATCACAGCTGAAAGCTGGTGTCAGAACTGAGAACTCAAGTTCTTGTCAGTAGGACGCAGAGATGTTTCTGGTTGAGGGGATGTAATGATGTCATTAGATCTAAACCTCCCTGAGGAAAAAGAGCAACATCTTCCTTCTATAAAGCTTCAGAACATCAGAGACACATAAACTCCAGAGCACCCAAGGTAATTTGAAGGACATTAAACCAAATTCCAGACATCCTAATGAGGAGGGCCTGGGTGAAGTGAATTGGGCTAGTCTGGTTTTTTCTCATAATATATAGGCCTCTGGATCTCAAATTGTATTCCTCAGAGATTCAGAAAGAAGACACAGTGCACAGAAGTGAAATAAAAAGAAAAACACAAGCACGCCAATAGAAACAAGTTGTTTAAGTTTTGTTTTGCTTTGTTTTTAAAAGGAAGACACTTGAGTCTAGTTTCCTTATGTCCACTGCCAATAATTTTCAAAGATATTCCCCACATGTGAAAGAGTTTCCAACTTGAAATGCTGTCTTAAATAAGATTTTTAGCAATATACTCCTAAATCAGTGGTTTCTATAAACATGTATACGAGGGTTCTTCAAAATGTTCATGGAAAAAATGTGTATTAAGGAAAAATTGTTTATGGATTTATAATTATTTATATCAGAATAGATTTGTACTTTAATTCCACTTTGAGGTCCCCTTGTACATATGCTTAAACAACTCCTTTGTGTTTCTATGAAGTCTAAACCTGAAAATTATTCTCTCTCCAAAACTGAAAACCAATTCAGTAGATTGCAATTCCTCAAGTCTAGTCATGAAAATAAAGAAAAAAGAGCCAACTCCATGGGCCGGTGGTTCAGGCAGCCAGATCCCACATGACTATCTGCCAGTCACAGACCTGTGACTTGAGAAACACACCAGGCACCTATGTATGCCTGTTCAAAATCCTGAAATGAGAGCAAGATGGAGGAGAAAGGGTAGATTCTCTCTCTCTCTCTCTCTCTCCCCCCTCCTTCTCAAGTGCCCACACTCTTTAGAAAAAAAAAAAGAAAAGCTCTATTCATTTATTTTAGATGACTCTCTAAAGAACTCAACTGCAACTCCTCAGCTACTAGTTTTTCTCTTCTGATTCACCCAGATTTCTAAAGTGACTAACACTTTGATGATAGTTATTTGGAATAATGAATTTAGTCACTATCTCACAAAGTTCTCCTCAGGGAAAACAAGTGCTAATGATACAGTAAGTGTCTGATAATTGAACTATAACTCACTGCAATTCCAAACCACTACAAGGTTTGGTTTTCATTCTTGCTTTTGTCACTTAAAGTCTGAGGGTTCCAGGTACAAATAGGAGGAGACCGTGGTGCTGACCAGCCACTGAGGATACAGCCTGAAGGAAAAACACCGAAGTAGATGCAGGTTGCAGGTATTGGTAAGAAGTCTGAAAATCAGAGAAAGACAGAGGCCATGGGTACTGAGAAGGATGAAGGCCAGAGGAATCCTCAGCAAACTGCAGAATGTCAGGCTCCACAGAAAGTAGGAAACTAGAACGGAGGGTCAAGCAACTGCAAGTTGTTGCCACATTTTTAAGAGCCCAGGGGAAGTATAGGCAAAAGGAACCATTCTGAAGAATAGCAGTAACGAGAAAAGGACTAGATTTGAGGCAGTTGTGTCTGTTTACCCTTCACCCTGGAGAGAGTCACTCTGGGGTGGACCGAGCCTACAGGCTGCAAGCGATGATAACAGAACAGCTGGCAGCGTCGGGAATGTGCATGTAGGGAGCAGATACAATTTTCTGGCAAAGAAGCATTTCCCTGAAAAGCAGAGCTTCCCTGTAACGCTATCCTCAAGGTCCACGTTCATGGTCTGTGAGGCAAACAAGACCACGCTATAATGAATACCTTTGTGCACCCTTCACGAGAACACAAAACCTCCTTGGAAGAAATCCAAGATTGATCTAATGTTCCATTCAAGCTTTTCATTTTTCGTGTTACAGTTCTACCATATACATACAAAATTCTCAATAAAACTGTGTGCAATTGCATTACAGTGTGTGCCTGACATCAAAGCTATGTCTATCTGACATCCAAAATGTCAGGAAAGTGAAGATCTTGCCTGCTACCTTGCTTAGGCTCAAACGCAAGTGCATGTTGGAATTTCCTGGACACTGAATGATAAACTAACTCCTTTCCACATCAGTATGTTGTTTAACCTAGATGTTATCTTATGCTGAGGCATGGAAATTTGTCTTTAGAGAGGGATAATTCTTGAAACCCTCTCATTATGTAATTCAGTGTTTGGGGTAGTAAAATGCTTAACTCTACAGTGAGAAAAATGAGAGGTTTTTCCTATGCCTCTACCTGGCCTCAAACTTCTTCCACTCACCAATTCCCCATGGTATAATATTCACCATGAGGTAGCTAGATGATGGTATGGGATTAAATGGATCATTCTTAGAGATGATTCTACATAAGAAAGTTCCCAGTTCCAGTTCAGAAAATTCCCCAAGGGTCCCTGGCATGTTCATGTCCATGATCCAAGGGACAGAAAATTGGGAGTGTATCAACATTTCTCTTGCTCATAGAATAAATAAATAAACTTTAAAATAGTAATAATAATGTTGGCCATGATCTATCAGGGGACTGCAAAAGGTTAGTGGAAAAATAGAATCAAAGCTGTAATTACTGGGTTTCTACCCATGATGGAATGGCTATACCAAAGTTTATAGATAGCTTAGTGGTAGGTGTGAATGAGTGAGGTAAGAGCCCCAATAAATTAGTCAAACCAATGAATAGGATTAATGAATCAGTATTAGAGATCATGTTTATCCTTTAGTCCTTTAATGTTATGTATTGTTATATTTTGTTTTAAGATTAATTGCATCAAGACCAGCAGATGGCATACTGGTTACATCACTGGACTCCCACATGGCCAACCATGGTCCAGGTCCTGGACCTGGTGGCTTTAAAATCATGCCAGACATGTGTGCATGCATGCTCAAGATCCTAGGAGGAGAATGGAGAAAAAGAGATTGTGGCATGGCCATCCCCCTAGGGGGTGACTTCTCACTTTCCCTTTCATTATCTCTGTCTCTTCCTCTCTCTCTCTCTCTGCCTTCCCCCTCTCACTGACAAGTACATGCATCCTAAGGTAAAAAGAGCATAAAAAAAGATTAATTGGGTCATTGCTGAATGGCAACTAGTCAGTTGTTGATAAGACAGGAAGAAGTGGGGAATAAGATACTTAGAAATGAAATTACTGGAATAATACAGGTAGTCCTGTAAATACTGGGGTAATGAAAGAGGTGAATATATTTTCATCCATTTGGAAGGAGTATCCATCTGTATGTTTCTTTATTTTCATTACTTATTCTTATAACCCCACCAAGATTCAGTTATGGGAGCTCCATCCTGATGACCTTATCTCATAAAGATAATAAATAAATGTAAAAAGTTTATGTTGGTGCCCCAAAATCCATGTATACTTTTTGGTGGTTAGTAGGTGGCATGGTAGTTAGGACACTGGACTCTCACATGGCCAAACACAGTTCAAGTCCTGAACTTGGTTGCTTGCTTTCTCATTGTCCCTATCTCTCTGTCTCTCTCTGATAAGCACATGTTCCCTATAGCAAATTAAATAATAATAATAAAATAATAATACATAAAAGTAAATAAACATTTTTCTTCAGTCCACATATACTTTTTTCATAATCTGCAATTTCCATGAACAAAAGTTCACGTTCAAAAGGAAGACATCCCCTCATCTTGTGTAGATGCACAATATTGAAAGCATATCTTGGGACCAGTAGGTGACATAATGGTTATGTTACTGGACTCCCACATGGTCAACCATGGTTTGAGTCCTGGACCCAGAGGCTTGAAACTCATGCTGGGTGCATATCCATGAATGCTCAAAATTCTGAGAAGAGAGTAGAGGAGAAGGAATCCCAGCATTACCAACCCCACTGGGAGATGATTTCTCACTTTCTGTTTTGTCTCTCTCTCTGTCTCCGGTGAGCACATACACCCTATAGCAAAAATATCTCTGTCTGAAAAACAGAAGCATATCTTGCCCTTGTACCGATTCTATCCCACCATCCTTCCAATCCCAAATAGCTCAGAGAGGTTCAGGGGAAAGAACAGAGGAAGGAAAATGAAGCTGGATCATCATAGATGTTAGCGAAAAGGGAACCGGGACCATAGTGCCGAGCAGAGAGTCTTCCGTCATGGACCATACGCCTTTATGTTGATACAGATCAAATGCTTTGATCTACTGGAATCATTTCCACCAATATTCCCTTCAAATTTATCAGAACTTGTCACTACACCCACAATAAGAACATTCTTTAAAACCTCATTAAAATGATTACACTTGAATAATCAAACTATCTTTGTAATCCTCAGTGTGAACTGCTATTTTATTCTAATTCGCTTGCCACTATCCAAACTATTGATAGATTTAGAAAAGAAAAAGAAAGAAAAAGAAAGAAAGAGAAAGAAAGAAAGAAAGAAAGAAAGAAAGAAAGAAAGAAAGAAAGAAAGAAAGAAAGAAAGAAAGAAAGAAAGAAAGAAAGAAAGAAAGAAAGAAAGAGAGAAAAGAAAAGCCACCATCATGGCAAAGTATCCAGCCAGGGGCATGACAACTCCAAAATATATTTTCCATGATTATCCCAGGTACCTACCCTGTACTCAATATTGAACTTAATTCATGCAAACTTCCACATGTCAGCTATTAAATCCTTACCAAACACGTTGTCGTGACCCATGCTTTTATCAGAGTTCTAATCATATAAATCATAGGACTTGAATTTTCCTCACTCATGAGATTTATGGTATTAGTCTATAGCAGATAACATTATATGACATAAGTATGCATTATGACTTAAAAGAAAGAACATCTAACAAAGGCCTTTCTCTAAAATAATTCTATTTCTAGGTTGAGTATTCTTTTTGGTTATATATGAGTAGTCTTCTCTGAGATACAGGTCAAACTACACATTATCCAAATAGCATCAGCAGGGAACGCAATCAGTGGAGGAAGGTTTTACAAACTCCAGTGGCCTCACGTGTTATTTGGAAATCAGTAGAGCACGGCTTGCCCAATGCAGCTGTGGTTGCCATAGGGATGGACTCCTGTGAGTATTCCATCTGCTACCAGGGGGACAGCTTGGAAACCCCTTACAGATCTTAAGAAGAAATGAAGCAAACAAATGACTCATCTGGCTAGGAAGGCTGATTTGACTAAGTAGCTATTTCAGTGGCTTTCAAGTGAATGCATACCATGAATCTTGCATCAGAGTAGAAAAATTTTACATTTCAAAATTAACTGCAAAAATAATTCAAATTCCAGTCAATTACTTTGAATACATGCATATTACCTAAACACAATGTGTTGTAACTCTTTTGTGTTAAATTTAGAAAATGCACTTTTTTTAAGTGTTAAATTTACATTTTCCAGAGAAATTAATATTAGCTTCAAAACAAAATCTAGGGCTCATTTAGCAGGTCATTTTGGGGAACACAGCAAAAACAGGCTTCTGCAATGAATCCACACGGAATGGAAGGGTTTCACTCATGTTGGAAAAGTTAATTCAAAATTGTCTGCAACTGAATTTTTACCATTGTCCCCATTATTGAACAGAAAAGTCGCTAGACCTTGGTATCACCACTGTGTCACCCCTGACCCCCAAAACCTTCAGTTTTTAGGTGCAAACAAATTGCAAATGATACAGGTTCATGCAGAGGGACTAAAAGATGCTCTGGTGTTAGGTTTTCAGTCACTTTCATTTTGCCACACACAAAGCCATCTATTCTACTTAAATGCAGAATTGGACCTTTGCTTATACTATATACAACGTACAGTTAAACTATCAAACAATAATTTATATACAGAGATCATTTGGGAATCATTTAAAGAATATTTTATACAGTTTTACATATATGTTTTACACTTTGTATTTTTAAAAAAAATTTTCTCTGAAAATTTGCAATTCACTTAGTGAAGTTTAACCTATTTAATGGGAAAAAATCAGAAAAAGGAGGCTTAGGAAGAATAGGGCTTAACAAGAGAAGGCTATGTCATTGGCTTGACAGCTTTACGAATATGGAGGAGAAAGACTGAAGGAAGAGAAGATAGATCATCGAGGAACCAAAAGGTGAAAGGCCCAAGCTTCTGAGATTTTATTTTGAATAAATGTATTCGATCCTCTTTAAGAATCAAAATAACAACATTAAAACACCTTCACAGAGGTTCAACACACCAAAGGACAGTAAATAATGATTCAAATCTCTCAAGTCCCTAAAGTCAGGGTCAAAACTAAGCAAGCATCTGAATATAAGAAGTTCTGAGTGAAGGAAGAAAAGAAATTCTGACCGAGATAAGAGGACAGGTCACCAAGGACCATATAGGAGGACTTTTCAGGCCCATGTAAGAAATGTTATCTTTCCTTTCTCTCTCTTGATTTTTGTTTGTTTGTTTGTTTGCTTTTTGTTTGTTTGTTTTCCCCTTGAGCAAGAGAAGAAACTAAGATTTTTCAAGTTTAGGAAAATTATGAACTGAGATTTACATATATATATTTTTTTTTAATTTTATTTTTTTTTTTGGAGAGGTTTTTTCGCTATAGGGCGTGTGCGCTCACCAGACAGATAGAGAGAGACATAGAGACAGAAAGCGAAAAATCATCCCCCAGGGGAAATGGTCACGCCACAATCCCTTCTCCTCCATTCTCCTCTCGGGATCTTGGGCACGCACGCACACGCGCCCAGCGTGAGTTTTAAGCCACCAGGTCCGACCACAGTCGACTACGTGGGAATCCAGCGACATAGCCATTATGCTAACTGCTGGTTCCCGAACTGATTTATATTTCTGAGGGAACTTAAAGCTAGCTAACACAGGGGCCAGCAGATGGCATGGTGGTTAAGGCACATGGCCTACTGAATTTGAGTTCCAGATCCAGCAGCTTGAAAATCATGCAAGACAAATATGCATGTGTGCCCACACTCCCAGAGGAGAATGAAGGAGATGGGATTCAGGCATAGTCATACCCCTGGGGGACCTGATTTCTCGCTTCCCCTCCCTCTGTCTCCCTCTGTCTCTGTCTCTCTCCAGTGAGTACATACATCCCATGGCAAACATAAGTTAGCTAACATATCAGTCATCCCCAAATATGACTGATATAAATTTATCTCAATTATAGGAAAATTTATCTCAATTATAGAAAAATCAACTTAAATATTGAATTTTTTAATTGCACAGGAGGAAGCATTCTGAAGAATTTTTAAATTATTTTTTATAAAACGTCAGGAACTGGGACCAGCAGTTAGCATAATGGCTATGTCGCTGGACTCTCATGTAGTCAACCGTGGTTCGCATCCTGGACCCGGTGGCTTAAAACTCACGTTGGGCATGTGTGCATGCGTGCTCAAGATCCCGAGAAGAGAACCGAGGAGGGATTGCAGCATGGCCATATCCCCTGGGGGATGATTTCTCACTTTCTGTCTCTCTGTCTCTCTCTGTCTGGCGAGCACACACGCCCTATAGCAAAAACCTCTCCAAAAAGAAAAAAAAAGTCAGGAACTACCTCTTAATTATCCAAACTCACCCCAGTTTAGGGGTTTGACATTGCAAGGCTTCAGCAAGAGGGAAGTTGTGGATTCTTCTTCCATCTCACAGAGGTGCAATATCCTAGAGAAGCAGGCAGAACTCTTTCTAACCTTGTTTCTTCTTCAAAATACGACATCATATAGCCTATACACACGAGTTGGAAAACATAAAGCAGATACAATTAACTTGAAGATCACTCAATTTTTCTAGGTCAGCCAGTGGCATGGTTGATAAAGTGATTGGGTCCCATATGTCCAGCTGTGTGTGTGTGTGTATGGAACCACACAGCTGGACATATGGTTGATAAAGTGATTGGGTCCCATATGTCCAGCTGTGTGGTTCCAGTCCCGGACCAGGAAACTTGATAAAAACATGCTAGGTGGACCTGGATACATGTCCAAAATCCCAAGAGGAGAATGGAGGAGACGGGATTGCAGCATGACCATTCTCCGTGGAGGATAATTTCTCACTTTCCGTCTCTCTCTCTCTTTGTCTCTGGTGAGTGAGTGCACATGCCCTATAGTAAATTCAAAATAACAATAATAATGTTTTAAAAGAGATCCATCAAGCAGAACTTTAAGGAAATTTATTATAATAGAATGCAGATACTAGAGTATTATTTTTTATTTACTTTAAATAGAATCTAACTAAAATTGGTCTGGCCACAGGCTTATTAACTAATATCTGGCATCTTTCTTTCTTTCTTTTTCTTTTTTTTTTCTTTTTTTTGCCACAAGTTCTATGTGCTCTCCAGAGAGAGATAGAGAGACAGAAGGTGAGAAAGGTGAGAAATTGCCCCTTCTCCACTCTCCTCTTTGAATTTTGGGCATACACACATACGTTTGGCATGATTTTCTAGTTACCAGACCCAGGACTCAAACTGTAATCAGCCATGTGGGAATCTAATGCTTTAACCACCATGCCACCTGCTGGCCTCTGGCATTTTTACTTTTGAACCATCAATTAGACATGGCTTCCAAGAATCTATGTAAAAAATAACCAATAGTGAAATGATTGAAAACGTTTACCAAAGGCCATATCAAAGTTAAAAGAAAAAGATTTTTTGAAAAGATAAAAGAACAATGTTGCATAGAATCGGAATTAATTTGCTGATTAAAAAATAAATGAAGAAGTCCAGCATAGTAGCACAATCAGTAGCAAGCTGAACTGCAGTGCTGGAAGCCATTTGACCAGCCATTGGTTCAGATCCCCAGGTCAGCTTCAAAACACACCAAGTATACATAGACATGCCCAAGATCCCAAGAAGCTGAGGGCTGGAGACAGGGTGTCACAGTGCAGCAGGACTTAGTCGAGGGCACTTCCTTCTTTGTCTCTCTCTCACTCTTCCTTGTACACATACCTGCACTCAATATCGTGAATAAAATTAATTTAATAATTTCATTTAGAAATGAAATAATTGAAGAAATGTTATTTGGTCAGCATTATTTTATTAATTTGCATTTAAAAGAAAAAATACTTTATTGAGAGGCAATTTTAAAATTCTACTAAATTAAATGTTTAGAGCTAAGTATTCCAAATCAGATGTTGGGGCAGCAGGTAGTATGGTTATGAAGGCACTAGACTCTCACATGACTGACCACAGTTCAAGTCCCAGACCTGGCAGCTTGCTTCCTCTCTCTCTCTATCTCTCTCTCTCTGGTCAAATTGAATAATAATAGATAAAGTGAAATGATTGAAAACGTTTACCAAAGGCCATATCAAAGTTAAAAGAAAAAGATTTTTTGAAAAGATAAAAGAACAATGTTGCATAGAATCGGAATTAATTTGCTGATTAAAAAATAAATGAAGAAGTCCAGCATAGTAGCACAATCAGTAGCAAGCTGAACTGCAGTGCTGGAAGCCATTTGACCAGCCATTGGTTCAGATCCCCAGGTCAGCTTCAAAACACACCAAGTATACATAGACATGCCCAAGATCCCAAGAAGCTGAGGGCTGGAGACAGGGTGTCACAGTGCAGCAGGACTTAGTCGAGGGCACTTCCTTCTTTGTCTCTCTCTCACTCTTCCTTGTACACATACCTGCACTCAATATCGTGAATAAAATTAATTTAATAATTTCATTTAGAAATGAAATAATTGAAGAAATGTTATTTGGTCAGCATTATTTTATTAATTTGCATTTAAAAGAAAAAATACTTTATTGAGAGGCAATTTTAAAATTCTACTAAATTAAATGTTTAGAGCTAAGTAT